TACGTGCCCAAACTCTGCCGTGCCGTTCTGGGGACGGGATTCTCTGACTTTTACTGCCTGATAGGACAAGCGAGATTACGTTGTCCGCCGCCTGCGCGAGATGGGCTTTGTCATTAAATACGTCCCAGACTCTACATTCTACCTGTATGTTTTACGTGTTGCTTGTCCGCCCCCTTTCACCACCAGAATGAATGTCGGCGAAACTGACGGAAAGCCAGGTGGCTCAACCTCGACGGCCTCCCCGAAAGCATCGCCGACGGGCTCAACTTCTTCCAAGCCTGCCTGGAAGAAAAGGTCATTGTTGTGCCCGGCATCTTCTTCGATCTGAACCCCTCGCGACGCCGTGACCTGTTTGACAGCCCGTGCCACCACTTTGTGCGTTTCTCGTACGGCCCAAGAATGGACGTGCTGCGCATGGGGTTGGATGGCATCGAGAGAGTAGTTTCCAAGTAAGTGCTCCTGGGAGTTTTTTTTTTTTTTTTTTTGTTCTAGCGCATTGTCTCTAATTGTTTCTTCTTTTAGACACAAAAAGGCTGCGGAGTAAGTAGCAGGGGGGCGAGCAGTGGGCCGGGGAGACACGAGTATCATGATGAATGATGGACGAATGTTGAGAAGAAGGAAAAGGTGTCGAGTAAAACTGGATAACTGGACGTCGCTTTACTGGGGACTTGGGCTTTTGCCCCGGCCACTTGGAGGAATTGTCCGATGCTTACATGTACTTAAGTATGTGAAAGTTGGCGCACAATCAGGAACTAAGCGCTTGGGGCGCCGGGCAGAAAAAGCGGCGTGCAAGGACTCACAAAGGCACTGGGCATTGAAACCAGGAACCAGATAAATTAACAGTGCTATTCTAGACAATTACATGACCTTTTTTTTTTCTTCTCCTGTTTATGGTTATATCTGTGCGTGTGCGTGTGCGTGTGCGAGTGAGGCCCTCTGATGCGGGATTCAGACAGCCAGTGTTTTTGGACATGTAAAGTCAAAAAAGAAGACGGGTGAAAAAAACATGAATGGCTTCAATTTCATGTCTCCATGTGGCTGTCGTAGCCAGCCTTGGCGAGCAGTGCAATCACTCTCTCGTATTGGCGGGGCGGTTGTTCGCAGTCTCTCTCGAAGCCAAACCTCGAGGCGCGGGGGCGGGCTGTCGAGGGTCTACCAAGCTTGACCTCGCGGCGCAGAAGCCCGTCATAGAACAAGGCGGCTATGGAGAGCGCCCTGCATCCGTCGGCGGCGTGCGCGCTGATGTCGGCGCCCCTGCGGATCAAGACGCTCACCGTGTCTGCGTGGCCGTTGTGCGCAGCCAACATGAGTGGCGTGTACCCGCGAGTTGATGCCGCATTGACTTGGGCGCCGTTGTCGAGCAAAAGTCTCGCCATGTCGGCATGGCCGTTTTCTGCGGCCAGGTGCAAGGGCGTGAGGAGGGCGTCGGCTGGAAGGTCGTCGACGTGAAGGCCGTCGGCATAGATGCATGCGGTGACGGAGCCTGTTGCACGGTTGACGTCGGCGCCGTTGGCAAGCAGGAAACTCGCAATCTCTGGGCTGTTGTTGTCGGCGGCGGCGGACAGGGCCGTGAAGCCGCCGGCCAACGGCTGGTTGACTTGGGCGCCCTCGCGGACCAGGAGCTCCGTCATGTCGAGGCGCCGATACCAGACGGCATAGTACAGCGCTGTGTACCCCCCGGCTGGCTTCTTCGCCTCAAGGTCGGCGCCGAAGTCGATTAGTTTCTTAGCAGTGGCGAGATCCGAGCGCTGACTGGCTACCATCAGAGGGGACATGCCATCCCACGATCGGTCCTCGACATCCGCGCCCATCTCAACAAGTTTCTGGGCTGCTCGAGGAAGCCGGCCATAGCAGGCAACCATCAGGGGCGAATACTCGCAGGCGTTTCTCCTCTGCTTAATATCCGCACCATGCTCGATTAGCATGAGGGCCATCACTTCGTCTCTCGCTTCCAGAGCATTCCAGAGTAACGGCTCAGGCTCATGCTCATCAGCATAATCCGCGAGGCTTCCGCAATACCTGAGGAGAGTTTCAAGAAGTATCTGGTCTTTCATATATATAGCCATTCCCAATGGTGAACGTCCTGATGTACCTTTTAATTTAACATCGGCGCCGTGTTCAAGTAGCACCTTGATTACATTATGAGATTTGTTGCGGATTGCAGTAACGAGCGGCAAACGTCCCTCGAAGGGCTCATTAGGCCTCTTGTATTCACATACAAGTTTCCCAACGCTTTCCACGTCTCCCTGACGGACGGCGTCATGCAGAAGCTTGGCATAGCCTTCAGCCTGGCTGGAGTCGTGGGCCATATTGGACGCTGGGTGGTAGCTTTACCGTTGGTTTTGATAGAGTATAGAGTATTGGTCTTGCAAAATGAGAAGAAGAGGGAAAATGCCGTGTGCTGATGATGATGAGCTGATGGAAGAAGGCTGGAGGTGACCATGTATTTGTACCCGCGAGATGCCCGTGGACGGCGGTGCCAAGCACACCGATCCATGCTTGATGGTAGATGCAGGCAGAGAGTGCGTAGGCCTTCATCACTGCGGCCTTCTGACACGCAATGTCCGCCTCTGATGAAGAGGTGAATGAATAGTTTGCTGTGAAGAACTGGTGTGGCTTGATGTCCATGCATCTCTGCGTCTGAAAGACATCATTGTTCGAACAAAACCTCGATTGTCGCTTGAGAAATAGCCTCGCGGTAAAATCTAGACCTCATCAACTTTTTGAACCGTGTCGTTTGTCTCTTGAGTTTTGAGAACATGTTCTGCAGTGATTCACGGCGTCGGCAACACAAGGCGAGTCGGTCTTTGTTCAGCTCAACAGCCACGTCCAACAGGAGCTATGAAGCCATCCTGAACTAGCGTCGATGATGGGTACTTGAATTCTGAACAATGGTTTCAATGTCGGTGAACTCCTCAATGTGTTCTGGCTTGGATACAATCATGGAACGCCCCTTTTGTCGCAATATATAGGGGGTACTAACACACAAAAGTATGTGGCGTCCGGTGCAATATCTTTGTTGGTCGCCCATGGCGCAAGCAGTCTGGGCTTCCTAGCGGGCATAGACTTTATAAATAGCTGAATGACAGACCGCGGGGCCACTTTGGTCTCCTGGACTTACCATGAGGTTTACAGGCAGTCTGGTGAGTTGGTCCTGATGAATCTCTTCAAGTCCACCGGGTACAGTCTGATCAGTGGTAAAATTTGAACCGTGCAGGTAGGAGGCGGGTGGTGATCACTACTGATAGCTACTTCCGAATTGGGCCGGATGTGGCCACATGACTACATAGGCACTCAGGCTCAACCCGCATCTAAACTTGGGCCTCGACAATGCACTCCTTTGCTATAAAGTTAAAAAAAAAACCCCCCCGGACCCCCTTATTCAAGTGTCTTCAGATCCAGCTTGGGTTCGTTCAAGGACCAGTGATGGCATTGCTGGTAAGTGGATGGACACAGACGGCGAAACATGCATCGACAGTTTGTTGCTGATGGATTCAAGTCGTTTGTAGGAAGCACTGAAATCCAACCCGAGCCAGTCCTACGTACATGGCCGACCTCTACTGTCCGCCCAACAAGCCTTTCATACCATGTGAAGTCGTCAACGTACATGGTCGAGCACATCAGACTCGTACCTTCAGCAACCTCGCTTGAACTGGCATGATCAAGTACTGCAGATTCTGCTTCGATAGCAAAATTCGCTGGAATCACATTACAACGGATGACTCTCGCTCATTTGTCTAAAGATGCAATTCCGCATGCATACTGCACGTCTCACACATACACCACATCCTGCACGCTGAATCCAATCACGGCACAGTACGTGCGGCTTTCAATTCTGTCATATTTGGTAGAAAACATGATAATAAATTACCAAAAACCCTGCTGGGCCCGTCCTTATTCATTCCCAGGGCGAACGAACCCAACTTCTTTCTTCTCACAATAAGCGTCGCTGTATACAACGACACTTTAGTCTCCATGGCCTCCAACAAATCTCCCAAAAATTGGGTCCTGACGACTTCACCAAGCTATTCTCCGGGGGGAGCTCTTTCTTTGGGGCAGGTCTTGACCAATCCTTATGATGCCTCCAGTGGCCTTGTATCCAGCAATTTGCTCTCCATCCCAGAGGGCACACTTCGCGACGAGACCAGCTGGAAAGACGTCAATGAGCAGTTTACCAATGCCATTGGCGCTAAATTTCACGCCTTGTTCAACGATGCGTCTGGTCTTGTGGCTGGTGCCCATGCCAACGCAAACCACCACCGCCATGACAGGTCCAATTATCGCATAAGCAAAATACGCAGCATCATGTTTCAGCCCTCTGTCTCTTATGCCAAGCAACTACTCGAAATCGACGATGTACCCAAGAAGAAACCATGGTTTGGTCAAACACGGTTGTACATGGTGACTGGCCTGCGGATTGCTGAAGGGGTGAGTCTGGACGCAACCGCTTCTAGAGCCAGCCACGTTGGCGCGGGTGCTGCAGGCGACTTTTCTCTGGTGGGAGCACCCATAGGGACCGGCCTGGGTGGCCACAGGGGTACCATGACTGAGAATCATAAATCAGTGGCAGACATTTCTTCGTTTGTATTTGCCTACAGGCTCCATGAGATCATCTGGACGGGTATACTCAAAAAACCCTCACTGGAATCCTTCAGTCGTGGTAGTACTCATTCCATCGAGCCAGATTGGGCAGACCGGGTAGATCCTGGGCTTGCCGAGATAACGGGTTTCCAGATAGATAAAGTGGCTGATCAGCCTTTTGATGGAGAAGGCTATGACAACAAGGAACGGATGACTGAATGATGTTGGCCATTATTTACCCCTGTATTAGCTACTTTTTGCTCCTTGTTTTATTTTTTTTTATTTTTTCCTAATTTTTATCTGCTAGGACACCGACGGAGAATATGAAAATTTTGACCAAAAGACAAAAGTTGTACTACTGTTAATCAATCTTCAACCAGAGCATCGCCTGGACCGAAAAAGGAAATAGGGGCCATGGCTCAAAGACGTCGCGGCGCCTCCGCAATGTGGTTCCCTACTGATGCATAATCGCGTGTGTATGAACTGCCATCAAAGAGATACCACGGAACAAGATTGAGGTGGCCCTGCTGAGATGAGGAATTGCTATTTGATAGCATACACTCACGGAATATTTGCAGCATCCCCTGCATTTTGGCAGCCTTTTCCAACGTAGGTCTCCCACCGCGTTCTTTCCAAGTGTTGCAAAATTCAAGCACCAAAGCAGCTATGCCAGCCATGATGGACGTTGCCATTGATGTGCCACTCACACGCTTCTCATAGTTTCCGCGATTTAATTCGGCGGGGAAAGCAACGCAGAGATTCTCTCCAATAGTACTGAAGTTCTTCCATCTATTCATATCATCAGGTCCCTGGTTGAAATCTGATTTGTTTCCTTCATATGTGGACGAACTTGCGCAAATCACGTTTTCATGGCGGGCTGGAAACCCAGCCGAGTGTTCACCTTTATCTTTACCAAAGCTGCCTGAAGCGGCAAAGAATAACACCGGTCTCTTTTTATCCCCTTGACGATTCTTAAGAGCTTCATCGATGATTTCTACCTCGAATTCATAAGAGAGGGACATTGATATAATGTCAACCTCCCACTCTGTAATGGCGGTTTGAATTGCCTACAGAGAAGTAAATTCGTAAGCAAACAAACTGACATAATCTTACTTTAGGCAAGAGAGAGTTACCTCGGAAATTCTTTCTGCTGTCTTTTCATCAAACGTTGATTGATTTGATATCTTTGCGGTGTAAACAACCGCCGTAGGGCAATTCTTGAGGAGTAAATGGGTGCAGGCTGTCCCATGGCCGGTGTTGTCTTTCAAATCCGGTTCACCAAGGGGATGCATTGTAAAGTCACGGCCGAGCTCCTCTCCTATTTATTTGCTTCGAACGAATTTCTGCAGGAGTGGATGGTCGATATCAAGACCAGTGTCAAGGACAGCAATCTTGACTCGCCTCTGATGCGGTCGTCGTATGGTGCTGAAGAAGCTCTGTACTCTCTTCATGTGGTGGTCATCAGTGAAAAAGTCGTCGGCACCAATATTGCTGCGTGCCACGTTAGTTGATTGCATCTCTTGATGTGGACATGTAGTTCATACGCTCGGTCATCGGCTCCTGCAGACGCATTTTGATAGCCGAACAACGTGGTCCCTAGGTTCCTTTCCTGTTGGGATGCGCTGCTAAGAGTTTGTTTGCAAGTCGGGAATACTTCCGAAAGGTTTGTTGCCTCGATATAACCCGGGTCGTCGCCGTTCATGCTTTGGGGGTCGGGGATATAGGCCCTAAGATTTTCTTCTTCGTCCCAAAAGATGATAACCGAGAACGTTTGATGAGGCATTATCCTCCAACATATAAGTGGGGAGATTATGGCGGCAACAATATTCTGCATATCGTAGTCTTGGGCGAGAAGAACGGCCATCCCGGGCGCGACCCAAAGGAAGCCAATCTCATACATGGTCGCTTGACCATGGTGATCGGCCAACGCATTGATGTACTCATGTTCCCGTCCCATGTCCTTGTGCGAGATGGAGGGGAAAGCGTATACGATCATGACTGAAGTCAAAACGAAACCATCTACATTCCGCCTCATCAAAAAGGCCGTCCCCGATTCATCCTTGCGGAACCTCCGGATTCTGGATTCTGGCGCCAATCGGATCGGCAGGCACATGCAGTCGACCGCTGGGTCGTTGCCCTGTTCATATGAGCCAAGATATATGTCATTGATCCATTCTTCAACTGACGACCTCGTTAGCTATCCAGCGACCCCTGGTGAAGGGTGCGAAGCACATACCTGGCCGAGATTGCGAAGGGTTCGTTGTCCTCGGGAGTTGATGAGGTCTAAAAGGCAGCATCTCGGAAATCCGGCCAGCCAGGCGGCGAGGATCTACACGGTTTAGGGTTGGTTAAATGGGGAGAGAAGTTGTTGCCGAATTCAAAGGAAGATGGAAGACAACCTCCCTCTTATACTAGCAACCATGGGCGGGATTCAAAGGACGCGCCTCGGGTCTCTGAGCCCCCTTCTTTTTTTTTTTTTTGGACGCGAAAGCCAAGCCGCCCAGACAGCAACCCCCAGAATCGAGAGTTGGAGAGTCGGGGAAAATCCAGCGAGCTCCATCACCAGAGCAAACTGTTGCTGCTGCAGGTGGCTGAAGCCGTCACGATGTAACTTGAACCAATCATGGTCGAGGCAGCACCCAGGGGCAGCGTTCGAAACGCCTCGCCGTCTGCAGCCACAACACAGCGAAGCAAACAAGGTTGGAATCGCCCGACAAGAGGGCAGCCAAGCAAGGATAAAACATGCACGCCCCGGGATTTGCGCCGGCGGCCCTCGTCATGGCCGGCTATGGGAGACGGCATGGCGAGCAAATAGCTGGGCTGTCAGCAGCCACAAAACTACCAGGCAAAATCAATCATGGGCAGGCTGCTTCAAGGCCAATTGTCCCACACACCCGGGGCTTCTGCCGTTGGTTCTTTCTAATCGTGGACTGCTTGGGCGGGATACACACGGCGGGATGGAAGCTTCATGCCAGGCGCAGGCACATGGCCCCCTCGGATCAAGTGTAAAAAGCACTCGACATTATGGCCAGGGCCCCGAGAAAAATCCACATGGGACATCTGGATGCTTTGTCTGCTTCTTCGCCGGACGTGTGGTAGTACAAGTGTAGGCGGCCAGGGGTGTCCCAGCTTGCCGTTGCAAGACCGCGGACCCGGGCCCAGGTAGCACGGCATATCCGGATATCGCAACCCAACCAATGGGAGTTTGAAATAACACAATGCCATTGACTGGATTGTCTTCTTCGGCATGCATAACGACTTTCGAGCACCACTGGCGACTATGCCGGGGCCTGATACTGTTCGTCAGATCACCAGTGACCTCACGAGAGAAGAAAATCGTTCCAATACTGGCGGCAAGCATCCTCGTTCCTGTCCTGTCAGGGCTGACTTTGCCCACCGTTCAAGGTGATTATACGGATTGCATGCTCGACTCATCATGGCCATCCTGTTTCTCATGATTACGTACTGAAATGGAAAAGTGAGATGCCTGCCAGAGCGGCCAAGGAACGCCATGCTTGGCCGCGGGGCCGACGATGATTTCAAGACTGCTTCAGGCAAATTATGAAGTAGAGTAAAAATTTATACGGCCCATTTCGAGGCAAGGACTGACTTGAACTTGTATAGAAAATCAGATAACCTTGCCAACGCCCTCACTTACTTATCCGTCCACTGGTTCATCAAGATGTCCATCCTCTCCTTCTACAGGGGGGTTTTACCTTTGGAATAGCGTGTTTCAAAGCATTCGGCCATTGCTGTGGCAGCATAGACCGCTGCGTGGTTCATATCGTCCTTGTAACTTGCCTTCCGCCTCGGGTTCGCGGGGTTTGGCGAGACTTGGCTTGAGTTCATTGCTTGCTGCGTTTCCTCGTGCCATAGCTGCTGGCATAATACAACTATCGCAGACTCTGGACTCTGGAGGAGACTCGGCTGGGCTCAGGCACGACCTGGATCATCGTAAACATGTACATGTGGATGGCTATCGAGGCTGGCGTCGATCTATCTGCACGTGTCTACCCATAGTCGGCCCCATTTTCGATTTCTCCAAAAGAAAGTAAAAACTACTTTGGCCATGGCGACACATCCAGGCGGAATCATCCCTGTTCCGTTGTTCCCCGTCGGTGTCTTTGAAAGAATCGGAGCCGGCGCCGTATCGGAAGACGACTCAATTCCACCGTTTTGCTTTCATTCGATGCGTATTCTGTACCGTACCGTCAACCACGGCGGCAGAGCTAGATATGAGATGAATACGGCATCTTGAAAACAGGTACGTTGAATCAGCCAAACCACGTGAAACTTGGTATTAGTATGAGTTGTGAAAAGAAAAACATGCGTCGCTTCTCAAGTCTTCATAAAATTGTTGACTTTTCGGGACTTTGGTTCCACGGCTACCCATGAAAGACATGCCGTGAGTTTCCTGCACTAACTTGCATCAAATAGCACTCGACATATAGCTGGTTTATTTCAGAAAGACTCTTCTTCGGAGGGAGCATCTCGTCCGCCTCGAGCGGCATACTGGACGTGTGTTGGATGGCAGGTTACCATTGACCAACTTACCATTGCGTCCGGCAGCGTGGGGAAGAAGCTTCTTCAACGTTCGAAGCTGGGAGGGGTCCGGTGTCATGGGCGATTTCTTGGCGCGTCAACAACATTCCTCTTCTCTGCAAACAAGCATCGCAGCCGCAATCTCTGTCTCTATAGCAAACAAGTGACCAAACCGAGGGGTCTTTGATGCCCTTTACGTTTTCTTGGCCGCAAAAGAGCAATTGTGCCCTGTTCCCCCCAATCCCCCCCGCTTCCGCCAATGCCGTGCAAGCATGGTGACGTACAGCCCCGCGTGCCTGCAAGGAGCCCCACGTCATTGGTCCGAATTTCACGAGTCCCTGTTGCCCCTCTTTCTTAAGCCCTTTGTCAGAATTATAACCTCACGAGACAAGGGCTTTTGGTTTTTTTTCGTCTTCTTCTTCCTTAGTCTCGTATTTTGCTTCTCATCAGAACGATAAGAAGATCTACTGCAGCAGCCGAAAGCTCTAATCACTCACTTGTAAGTTGGACCTCAACTCATGCTCTTATTTCCCTAGGTTTCTCTCAACCATGCTTACTTTTTTCCCCATCGCGACAAGTCTCCAAAAAGTCATAACAGCATCATGGGTGTGACCAAGACTACTCTCAAGGAGGGCTCCGGTGCTCAGCCCACCAACGGCCAGACCGTCACCATTGAGTACACCGGCTGGCTGAAGGATACCAGCAAGCCTGACAGCAAGGGAGCCAAGTAGGTCCAGCCGACCCGAAGGGGGGCAGCAGTCTCACCTTTTCAACCAACAAGGTGACTAACTGGGGGCCACCCGTGCCAAAGGTTTGACTCTTCTGTCGGTCGTGGCGATTTCGTCGTCCAGATTGGCGTCGGCCAGGTCATCAAGGGTATGTCATAGCAGTTCCCAGCTACGCCATGAAAAGGAAACGGGGGGACAACGTTATGTAACCCTTTTTTGCGCAGGTTGGGACCAGGGCGTCACTCAGATGAAGGTGGGCGAGAAGGCTACTCTTGACATTAGCCCCGACTTTGCCTACGGTGCTCGGTAAGCTTGCGCACACGAACCCAAACCCAAACCTGCTGCCAACGTACTGACTGCGTCCGTTTTACAGCGGATATCCTCCCATCATTCCTCCCAACTCCACCCTCATCTTGTAAGTCCTGCAAATGCCCTGGAGAATTTGTTGGTGTTGCTCACATATCTGCGTAGCGATGTCGAGCTGAAAAAGGTCGCCTAAGTTCCCAAGTTGGCCGAGACGGATGAAGGATCAGGACGACACGGTGGTTGCTGCGCGGCGAAACAACAAGCTCTCCCGTCTAGGATTCGATGAGCCTTGAGAGATGGTTTTGTTCTTTTTCTTGTCCCACTCGTTGCGTCTCGATATCCGGTGCTACATACTTTTACACCCTGCTGCGCATATAGGTTTTTCTCCCCCACGAGGGTTTTCCTATGCCACGTCAGTAAGGAGGGGGATGGCGGAGGGCTAGAAAATTGCGTCGAGTAGATTATCTAGAGTGTCTCTGATGAAGAACCAATACATCCATATGTTGGCTCTGCCCTGGCGTCGCGAAAGTTCCGTCGCGGAACTAGCCGACTGAATCCGGAGTCCAGGCTCCTCGTATCTACATTGCCTGCAAGTTTGAGGAGTCGTCAGACGTCATGGTGATAAACAGGACTGCAGCAACGACTTGGCGAAAGAACGATACAGCAATTGGCGGCTTCTTTAGAACTACATATCTGTCAATGGAAGAATCAAGACATTCCGGTAAGTCAGCTGTCTACTCTCAACTTCCAAAGGTACCTTGGCATCCCTTGACTGATGGTCATCAGTTTTTGATTGATAAGAAGGGTCCCAAGTCAAGCAATTCTCGACTTGTTGCATACCCGGCTTATATCGATACGGGAATGACTTGCTGTCTGTACAGAATTTTCTCATCGGAGGGCCGATTGAAGCTCCTACTTCAACATTCCAATCTAAATTTGGCAGAAGGTTGTCGTCGTCGTCCATAATACTACCAGGTCTGGAGCTCTAGCAATGATCAGCATCCGAGTCTGGCATGTCCATCCAAAGTTGTTCTCACGCCATTGCAGTGACCCTCCATTTGACGTACCGAGCCCCGAAACTAAGAGACAACAGCATTTCAGTCAAGGACTGGTGAATTTGGCATTTCTATAAAAGAGCAGTTGAGAGTCACGGTTCCATCCTGAAACGTGCTTGCTATCCGTCGGCTGCAGTCACCGCTCTGGGAAGCTAGCAACCAGGAAGGGTTCAGAAGAGCAATACGTACTTCTCGTACGGAGTACCGCACACTACAAAGTAGCATCTTCTCACGTCCTTCTATCTAGTGACAAACATACTGTGGTCGACTAGTAGGTCGTGCCTAACCGTCTAACTGAACAGCCTGTTCGTTCTCACGTCTCCAACTCCTCAGCAACTCACCAATGAACCAATTGGGCAGCAACCACTCGCACAGCATGTATCGGCGACCCCCCCCAACAACATCAAAGCAGCCATCTACAGCACAACAATTCCTCACGTCAGAGCCATGACGGGGAAACTGAACCCCCCAAGAAGCCAAACTCAGCCGCCAGCAAAAACGCCACAAGCACTCAACAACCCCCATCCGCCTCCCGTATCTATTCCCGCTGCCTCCCGCCCAAAAAGAAGACAAAGGTAATCCGCATTCCAGCAAAGATATCCCGCAGACAAGGAAAAACACGGCGGTCTCAAAGCCCATCAACAAATACCCAATGGGGCACAGTTGCCTTGTTTCACACTATGCGACGGGTAACCCCCCCTCTGCCCGAGATTGGCAAAGATGTGCCCTTCCATGAAGGAAAAACAGCTGGAATGGAAGGGTGTGAACTCTGCGTCCATGTGGCACCACCAAAACGACATGCCGTACGCGACGCCCAAAGAGGATTGGAGAAGAAAACCACGGCCTCTCTCCCAGCGGAACAAGATGCATCGGAGACAGATGGGGGCTCAGGCAGACTTTTCGTTGGGCGTGATAAGGTTTGGACGGGATTGTGAGTTTTTGTTTTGTTTTGTTCTTCATGCTCTCGCAAGGGAAGACCCCGTTGCGACACTGCCACATAGACACACGTCCGCTCCACCTCGAAAGACAAAAGGTGTACGAATAACAGCACGGAGAAGAAAACTTTAGTACGCATGTATGTACAATTAATCGTGGCATTGCGTGGACAGGAAGGGATGGAGAAGGATTCGACGGCCGAGGCATAACGTGGAGGGCTGAGGATGAAACGGGCGGGTCTGACAGCGGATCTGAAGGCTTATGTTTTTGATCTGGGAACCCCCATCTTGGTAAAACTGTGGGAAGATGATGTGTACCGTGGACGAATGGCGTCGGCTGGTGGCCGAGATGATGGAGTTTCGAAACGGTCTCGACTGGCGGCTCGTTGATGCGTGCACGCAGCGCCGTGTACGGCTCGCATCACGAGCTGCGCCTGGTGGTTCGTCATGGCGTTTGGGTGTCTTGTTGCTTCATGCCGCTCCGAAACGAGCGTACCCGAAACACGGCGCCGGTCTGGCCGTGCTCTCTTGTTTTTGTGCCCTTTTTGACCAAACGTCATGCCTGCAGAGCTCATCCATGCCCTTGGGGGAAAACGGTGCTTTGTCATGGTACTCATACGAGAAAGAAGCGCCCCCGCCGGCTTGAAACGGATAAACGACCGTCGACGTTGAGCCGCAACGCACGGAGCAGGTAGCAGGTACCATGACGGGTGAGAGACGGCGTCTAAGATGGGGCATGAACTTTTCAACTTCCTTGTACATACAACCTTACTGTATATACATACGCAGGGTGTACACACACGTCAAGTTGCCTTTGATTTGGCGGCGTGTGCGAAAACTCACGGTGCATTTCTCCAGCCCATGCATAGAGTCCGGTGCTGGAACCAGGCCATGGAACGATTCTGTTAGATGGCCCACGTTTTTTACTGCGCTGTACACGGTACTGTCCTCGAGCCAAGTACTCCGTAGTGCGAGTCAACTTGCAGGGGGAGGGGGGTGGCGTGTACGTCAAGGCCATATCGACAGTCCTGTAAACTCAGCCCAAGCAAAAATAAATAAGTAAATAAATAAATAAATAAGCAAACGCCAAAAAGGGCAAGCCAATGCCAGCTGCAGAGAGCAAAAAGTAACGTCAAAGAAGGAAAAGTTACTTTGCCCAAGACGTGCCAAGCCATGTCCAGCACATGTACAGGTAGCACCAAGTCTGAACAACCGCTTAATAATAATAAAAAATACAAGATCCACCAAGTAATGTTTGCTGGCGAGTGAAAGAAAGAACAAAAAAAAACTAGTACTGGTACTAATCTTTTTTCATCCGTGTTTGTGATTGAATGTGACGCGGGTCTGGCAGTTTATCGAGATTAGCTACCTGGGCGTGCAACGTCATTCCCGCACGGCCGAGAAGAAAGGCTTCGGACGATCAGGCCCTAGCTGTCGTCCGTAAGCGAGAAATTTTATTTTTTTTGTTGTCTGGTCGAGCTACGTGCTGCTAGCGCGTGCGTTAGTGCACGTACGCGGTGCAGGCTCGCCAGCTAACATCAATGGCGAAAGGGACCCGGATGTATCAGCCACTCGGCGTCATCCGATGGCTTTTCCAAATCACTCTGCCTAATAAGCAGCCACTAGTAGTTACTCCGTAGTGTCCATTGACATCACACGACAACAGCATCGCGAATGGTCTTTGCTTTTTGTTGAGAGTGGGCAAACCAACACCCTTGTTGGCTACGGCCTCTTTTTTTTTTCCCCCTTCGCCCTCGTGGTCGCCCGATCAGATCACGCTTGGGGGCCGAATCTGTCTCAGCACTTTCTCCGTGCTTGCAGTGAAAAGCGGGCCGTTGATCGGTTGCAAGAGCTCGACTTGCCGTCGTCTTTTTGTGTCTGGAGGCTTGTAACCCTCTTTCACGCAGGCAACGTACGACTCTGCTCTGTACTTTACGTACCATGACACTCACAACCAGCGATCCACTTGCCGATCGCCGCCGGGGAGAATTCAGAATAGTACTACTAAAAAAAAAAAAGAGGGATTCGGGCCCTGCCTTTGCCCTATTGACATGGACTGGAGTACGGATTGTCCTCCCACTGGCCCAGCTTCCTCGGCGGTGGTGTGTTGTGCTCCGTGCGGCCGGGCTTGGCTTTCCCTGCTGCAGCGGTTTCGTGGTTCCGACTGAACGAGTGGGCTGTTCTGGAGACGTGAACGCGTGAGCGTGAGATTTGCACCCGGTCCGCCTAGTTTGAAAAAATAAAATGAAAAATTTCAACAATTCAATAGACGGACGAATGAACGGGTGGACGGGTGGCCAGATATAGCAGAGGCCCAGATGGTGCCGGCATCGCACAGAATGCCAATAACCATCAATTCGATACCAATGCGTTCGCGGTCGAAAATGGCATCCGGTTGGGTTTGTGTCGCGTGCCCACTGCGGCAGGCGGGAACTGCCGAGCGGTCAATTGGCTCCCCGCCCGAAAAAAAGAGATGGCCAACCAGTCAATGCATCCATGTAGTCTTTTAGGGGACCGGCCGCCGTCTGCAAAAAGAGTCGCATCGCGACATGGGGGCGCGATTTTTCGTTTGCCAATGGGGGCCGGGTGAGGACCACATGCGTCGTGCTCGGTACAATGGCGACAGGTGAATTAAGGAAAAAAAAAAAAAAGAGGTCACCTCGACGTCGAGCGCGCCGCATCATGCAATTCTTGCACGATATTGCGTCCCCGTTGATATGAAAAGCTAGCTCCACACCTGTTCCGGGCCAGTCAGCTGCCGCCGCGCCCGGCATCCAGCACCGGCTTGAACAAAACATCATCAGTGCTATCAGCTGCCATGTCGTAATCTATTCTCTCTTTTTTGGCCTCGGGAAAGGAAGGCATCATTCCACCTGGCGCGGTGAAAAATTTCCCTCTGCTCCACTGCAATAGGGCTACAAGAGAACCCGAGAGCAAAGTCCGCCCTTACATCACCCACCCCGTGAGACACGAGAACCCTGCATGGGTCGATTTTGACAGCATTCGCGGACGAAAATGAACCTACTAGTACTCCGTGCTACTAGAATCAATTGACCTCTAACAGAAGAAGGAAAAAAAGTTTTCCATCGAGGGTTCTATCTCGGGGCCGATTTTTTCCCCCGTCCTCACTCCCTTGGAATTTTTCACTCCAATTGCAAACAAGCAAGTTGCGTGTTCGACAACCCCCCTGCCTGCTGGGCCTC